AACTTAGTGTCATCTGCAGACTTACTGAGAGGTTAAAGGTGGTGTTCTCCATCTTATTCAGGTGGCCTGGCTGGACAAGATTGACAGGCGCTATGCTTGGATAAAGCGTCAGCTGGTGGACTATGAGGAGAAGTACGGGCGCATGTTCCCCCAGGAGTGGTGCATGACGGAGCGCATCGCTGTGGAGTTCTGCCACGTCACCAGGTGAGCAGCCAGGGAGCCCACGATGCCTCCCAGCAGGGTCACCTTCCTTAAAACGAAAGCTCAGCTTTGGCTCTTGCAAAACTGGTCATATATCCATAGGACTTTAAAGGCAATCTTCAAGTAGAATTATCAATGATTAAAAGCAAGTAAAGAGTGAAAAGTCAGAGAAATATCACTAAAACTGCATGTACTGTTAAAGAGTGAAATGATGTGGAAATCCATTTTCAATGTAACAGAGGTAAAAATCAATAATACTAGAGGCTGAGTGACACAGCGTGAGCTGACTGTGGTGTGACTGCCTCAGACCGTGCTCTTTGCCAGCCAGAGATAGGGGACCAGAGGAAGGTGCCTTGTGGTGTCCCAGCAGCACCATTGTCTTTGTGCTGGGACCCTAGTCAGAGACTCTGCACTTCCCAAGGCTTGATGCTGCAGACTTTAATGGCTGCTGGGGTGTGAGGAGATGAGGTCCTGTTACCCACAGAGCTCTCTAAACAGCTGTGGTTATGTTTGAAATGTGATCTGTAAAGCAGCTTTAACTTAGAGAGGATCTTGGGAATTGGCTTGAATTTTGTGATGGAAGTGTCTCTGAGGAATAGACTGAATTACAATCTTAGGTTTCAGATCTCCCTCTTTGTAGAAAACCACATTTGTTTTTCTGTTTTACCACCTCTCTTTCAGGACAGAGCTCGCTAAGATAATGCGCACGAGAGCAAAGGAGATTGAGGTGAAACTGCTTTTGTTTGCAATTCAAAGGACAACGAACTTTGAAGGACTTCTGGCTAAACGCTTCTCAGGTTGCACTCTAACTGATGGGACAGTGGTAAGGGGATTTCTGAAGAGCAACCCTTTAGTCCACAGCTTTTTCAGGAGGAAAAAAAAACCTCTCTTGCATAGCCATGGTAATGGGAGATTGCAGAAAGTGTCACCTGCAGCCTCCTCTCGTGCTGGCAGGTTAGCTTGTTTAGCGTGGCTGTGCTGAGTGGGTTTCAATTGGGAAGGTGTTTCTTGATCTTGCAGAGTGTGGTAGAGAAGATGGCATAGGAAGGAAACTGCACTGGTTGTCTACTTTTTTGGTTTTCCTGGGCACTGTGCTGTTTGCAACTGAAGCCACATTGCTATGAAAAACCACAAAGTAATTATGGCATAGTGACTCCATTGTAATGTTTGTTCTCTGCATGTCAGTGACACTTTATAACTAAAACCTCCCTCTTCTCTTCATTTCTAGTTACCACACATTCACCGCATGGTACCATCTTTCAATCCCACATTGTTGGGTTAGTGTTACTTGCAGGGGTGTTGGTAGATTCTACTTTACGGTGTCTCATTTGGTAGACTGTAGAGAGAGCCAAGAGAAACAGCGCAGTGAATATCTCTGGGGTCATCTCTCTGCTTTTTCTGCCTGAAATCTCAGCCAAGAGCTCTGCCAGCCAAGTGCCCTGGGAGCACAGCATCCACGTGTGGCTCGGAAGCCGCTGGTTTGAGGTCAGCTTCTCTGTCCAGCTGGTGTCTTGAAGCCTACTTGGATGTGATAATTCAGCTAGCAGGCAAGCCTGCTGGACCTGTTTGTAATTTGCTGTGGATCAATAGGTGCCGCTAATTAAAATGGGAAGTCCTGTAAGCTTTTCCTCCTGGCCGAATTTAGATCTCTCAAGAATATGGCTTTATTTTGCTGACAAATTTCCTATGAAATTTGCAGCTTTAATTAAATTGTCTTCACTGGGTTGTTATCCCATTGAAGAAGGTAGGCACAGAAGCTGTTACAACTGAGAAAAAACAGAAGGGGAGGGTATGACTTGAAATAAAAGAAAGTCCTCTCTGTCTCCTTTCTCATGTGCCTAGAGGCTGGGACACTCTGGATGTCATCCTCTGACCTGTTTTATCCACAAGATGAGGGCTATAATTATTGATTTGCTATCTGGGGAGTGCACAGTGACACCAGAGACAAGCTCTGGTGGGAACAGTAATGCAGGACTTGCTGCAGCAGCGGAGTTTTGGGGCCTGCTCTCAGGGGTCCTTCTGGTGGAGACCACATGTTTTAGAGTGTGTGGCTTGAGTGGAAATTTGATGCTGGTCAAAATGCCCCTTGCAGGGATGATTCGGGCAGAGCAGGTGAGTATGGGTGCAAGAGGAGCAGGCTGTGAGAGGGTGCTGAGGATGGAGTGTGCTGGTGGAGCCATGGAGAAGGAACCAGGCTCTAGCCCTGTAGTAGGACGGAGTGTCCTCTAACCTTGATGGAGAGGCACCGCCTGGCACTCTGCGGTCACCTCTGTGCTTGGAGAAGACAAACTGCTGTACAGTGCTTTGAAGGGCTTAGTAAAACAAAGTGTGGATGCAGCTGTGTGTGAGAGGGGACAAAAATGACTGTTCTCTAAGGAGCTTCCTCTTTTTTTAACAGAAAAAGCCTGAAGTGCCTCCTCCCTCCACCAACCCGTTTCTGGAGGATGAAACTGGGACAGAGACAGATGAAATTATGATTGAGAAAAGTGATATGGACAAAGTAAGTCTTTGAAGTTCTCCAGTTGTTGGTTAGGCAGCCTCTGTGTCAGAATCTCTGGTGGTGCCTAAGCTTCTCCCATTGATTTGAAAGTTTTGTTTTCACAGCAATTAATTTTGCTCAGTTTTGGTCTCCTGTGCAGCATACAGGCTCCCAGTATGACCATGGCTTGCTCTGGCTCACTTCACTGAAAGCAAAGCAGTCTTTATTTCAGTTGGAGATGATCCCACCATGTAAGAGTGAATTGGATTCTGTTCTAGCCCGTGCAGCAACAGCTCTGAACAAACTACAAGATGTCTGTCAAAGAAAAAAACCTATCAAACTAGCATAGTTGGGTTTTCAGGTCCCAGAAGAAGCTCCCACTACAAGCAGTTCAAATAATATTTTGCCTTGTCAGCCAAACAAACTACGTCTGGAGCCACCAGACTACTCATTTCAAGTGTCAGCTATAGATTTTCGCTCCAGATATATTACTTCTGGGATTTTTATCTCTGTAGTGCTTTTCATCCACTACCTCTGCAAAGCAGGTAACACCTAACCACTTGTAAACGCTCTGGGTTTCCAAAGCCCTCTGCAAACATTAAAGGAGTGAATAGTAAATGCAGTGGTTTTAATTGGCACCAATATCAAAGCCTGTAAGCCCCATATTTTTTACTCAGCAGACAGACATTTTCCAAGTGTTCAATTGCAAGTTGTTTGAGGTCGGTACCCCATCCTTGTTGAGTTTATAGCCCTGTAAACAGGCCATTTACGGGTGGTATAGTGAAGGATGGCCATGGCCCTGGGACCTACTCAGATCTGTACCCCTGGGGTGTTTTTGGGGTGGTGGCTCCCCACCAGCACAGTTTGGTGCAGTGCATCCCCTCCAGATTCTCACATGAGCAGGGCAGCCCCCTGCCTTCCATCCGCAGCAGAAGCCCTGAAGTAAAATGATTAAGCAAAGTTTTGCTCTTTCCATTAAAATACAGCTTGGACAGTTGGTGTTGGCCAGACTTTACCAGTGACGTAGAAGACAGAGGTTGGGAACTCGGAGAGACACACGTAGTGTATTTTATTTTGTGAAGAGCTTGCTTTCTGTGATCTGTAATGGCTGGGAGAAGAGTGGCTCTGATGTGCAGTGCTGGGATGAGAGGACATCCTTGGAGAAGTCAGTGGTGCTAGAAGGCAGGTGAAGGGATAAATGGCAAAGCTGTTAGGGCTGTTTTTAATGAACGGTAGAATGCAGTGCCTTGGCCAGAAGCAGTTCAGATGCTTCTGAGAAAGGAGCTGCCCTGCTCCTTGTACGTGGAGAGGCTGGTGTGAAGGCTGCACCATGCACTGGACTATCCCCTGAAATGCTGTTTGGGGTTTTGGTGATCTGGATATGCCCTGTGTTAATGCTCACAATGCAGTGCTGAGCTCTGTGGGCACTTCTCTGCCAAATGGGAGCCCCAGGAGCCCCAGTATTTTGATTTCAGAGTGCCAAGAGCTGGTGGTTGGTGCTGGTGAGTTCATGTTGGAGGTCTCCTCTGAAGAAGAGAAGTGACAGGAAGGGTTGAAGATGTTGAGTTTTGGGTAGTAAAGCTCTTCCAAGACACTAGTCCTGAAAATTCAAGACACTTGGGAGTGTAAGAGGGAGCACAACAGTTTGGGGGGGTGGGATCCATGTTAAAAAAGGACTTTTTTTTGTGATCCTAGCAGTTCGTTTTAATCTGTTTACTTTGGATAGTAATGAAAGGAAACTGGGCCAGCTGCAGACCTCCTTACTGTGACAACAGTAACCTTTTATTATTTCCATCAAACTCAAGGAGGAAATAGCTTAAACATCTGCAGCTTTTGGACGGGATTGCACGCTCAGAAATACAGCTTCGCTGCTACTGTTAAAAGATTTAGTATTCCCTCCACCAGACATGCTGGGAGCAGTGGGATGCAAAGACACACGCTTGCACACGGAAAACCAGTCCTGCATTAGGAGTTGGCTCTTCCAGCCTGGTAAATTGTAAACATCATGAATCTGCAACCTTGCATTGGCACTGCCATCCTGGAGACTTGGCAACCGGAGGCTTTCTCTCACGACCGCCTCTTGTTTTCCTCCCAGCCCCGATGAGTGTTTGCATCTGGAAGAAAAGGGCAGGCACTGGCAGAGGGGCTGGGGCGGAGAATGCTGGGTAGTGGCTCTCTCCCAAAGCTGTAAAAACTTACATTCTCCAGTCGTGCTCTTAGTGAGGTTAGTGAAGCCAGGCTCATAAGGGTGGTCTGGTCTCCGTAAAACCATTTTCTTGCTTTAGGTTTGCAGCCACGTGTTAGTGTTCACTGTGTCTTTCAGTCTTAATTATTTCTGAGAAATGCTTGCTTTGTCATCCTCTGCTATTTCTGCAAAAGACTCAGTGCCACCTCCTCTGCTATTTAGGAGAGCGTGTCCTTAAGGCTCCTTTGTTTTGCTTTTCTTACGCTAAAAAATTTCAGCTGGAAAAATTCATATCTTCGTTGGCTGGGAGCTGATCCTGGCTTTTTGCGGAGAGAGGCAAGAATTCCATTGCAGAGTCATTGCAGCCCTTTTCCTCTTCGCAGGCAGTGAAAAATTGTCAGCTTGCTGGCAAGTGAGGAGAAAAATTGTCAATCAGTTAAAAAAAATAGAAAATATCTAGCTCTGTAGCAAAAATGAGCTTAAAGGCCCTGTCCAGGCTGGTTCTTAAGCATTCAAGAATTGAAGCGTATCAGTAGTCCCGGTGACTTCAGTGAGCTGTGCTTGGCCACTGTGTAGAGTGTACTACCAAAGTAAAATGAGAGTAAACCGGATTACTCCCAAATGGCGTATGTGCTTAATGCTCTAAATGTGATTTTTAAAATAGAAGACTTTGCATCCCCTGAAACGTTTCACAATGAAAGCAGTCCTATAATGTTGCCTGTATAATTCCAGCTGCCCCAATAACTATATTTTGTTTATCTAAATAAAATTCATCCAGATGAAGTCTGTAACTTTGAGTTATCCTTAAGGGTCTGAAATGTAGGGATTTTTCACTGTTGCTTTCAAGTAACTGCTCCATTTCATTTCAAAGGTGATTAGTGTTACTGTTCAAAGGGTGCAGCAAGGTTTTCTTTACAAACTGCGTTAAGGTTCTTCTACTGAAATCTGTCAGCATGCAGCAGTCTTCTCTTTAAGGACAAGAATATTTTACAGGTGAAAAAGTAATTCCCTGGAATATTTACAGCTCTCTGAGAGCAAGGGAAGTCTTGGGCACACCGACGCTGTATACGCTGTTATTTGCAGTAAATTTGAGTGTTGTATTTCTAAAGACTTAGATCCTTCTGTGCTGTTGCGTTACTGTTTCTTCTAGGTCTTACGGGGCAGGTTTGAAACCTCAATGTTTTCTTACAGCCAAAGAAGCCGAAGGTCCCTGACAACCCTTTCCACGGCATTGTTTCCAAGTGCTTTGAGCCTCACCTTTATGTGTATATTGAGTCGCAGGACAAGTGAGTAACCAGCATGCTCTTTTGGGTTTGTTTGCTTTTGAAGTGTATATTGCAATTGGATTGTACTGGATTCTGCACTCAAGCTGTAGGGAATGGATTTTTTGAAAGTGTACTTTCTGAACTCATCAGGAGCAGTATTCGTGGCTCGAGTGAGTTAGGATGAGTGGGACCTTTGCTTGGACAGACACGAGCGTTCAGAGGACTGTGGATGTTGGCTTCGCTGGTAATTGCGAAGGCCTGCAGGAACAGTGCCCACTGCCTTCCTGCGGAAGAGGCTTAGTGTTTCTGAAATTGCTTCTGTTCCCAATAGCTGCAATTCCCACTGCAGACATGTGCCTTTCTTTCATCTCACGTCTTCCACAAATAGTAGGTTTTCTTTTTCTGCAAAATACACATGTGGCTTCGTGGCAGAGGAGTTTCAAGATTTGCTTTATAGAAATAAGTTATTTGAGATCCTTAGATGAAAGCTGCTGTAGATGAGCTGGCTGTAAGATAATGTTATCATTGCTCACAGACTTTGTCAAGAGGCTTTAATCCCTGAAACACTTTTTCATCTTCCTCTTTGACTTGCAGCAAAATAACTTCAATGAAAAGAGCTTTCCACTTAGAGCTCTGAGAAGTTTTTAGAGCTCTCGCCACACTTTCTTGTGCACCTCGGTTCAGACCAGGGTTTAAATAATATCTCTGTAACAACTGCAGTGCCAACTGGTAGAGGAAATAGTTGAAAAGGTTTAATACAGTCTCTTAGTGCAGGTTAGTGGCTGGAAAGGAGAGAGATGCCTGCCTCATGTAACTCATCTGCCTCTGCCCTTCTGCCTTCCAAGGACTTGCACATGAGAGAGTGCGTAACTCGAGGCTCATAGTGTCCTGATTTTGTCCAGACTCCAAGATAGCCGTCTTGAAAAAGGTTTCCCATGTCCCATCAACCTTTTATGCTTGAAATAAATAAGTAATAAAGAAAACTCTGCACAATGGTCTGTCACGCTGGGTTTAGGTTCCGCTCTGCAGTATAACAAAGGGAAATGGATATTTCCCTCCCTGCCCTCAGCCAACTGAGTACTAACGTGTTTGAATATTTCTTCCCTTCTCACTGGGGACCATTTTAATCCCCGTTTTGGTAATTCTACCCCACTGCACTCCTAGTCCTTTCAGCTGCTTTTTTTTTTCCCTTTTCCTTTACAGTCCTGAGATGTTTTATATTAGCTTTATAGCCACAGGCTGCAAGGAGTTCAAAGAAAAACTGCCACAGTATTCCCCACGCTGCCCCTGTCTGCCAAAAATTGCTTTCCTTTATGATTGTCTCTCTTCTTTCCATCTCGATTGAACTGCTGAGGAATCCGTTATTGGTGTCTGAAAAGGAGGAGTTGCTTAGATAATTAGTTATATGTTTGGGCTCTGAATAGTGAAGGTAATGTGACAGTTTTGTTCATCATTGCCATAAGTCTGTGGCAGAAAGCAGCCTGGATCTTTTCTCCTGAAAAACTGTTTCCATACCCACTTAAAGAAACACAGTGCCAAAATCTGCAGCAATTTAAGAGGAGACACCTGAAAGAAAGCCTTTAAAGATGCTGCTCTCCACCCTCTGCTCCAGTGTAAATATCAGATTTCTTAACAGTGAAGCAGATTTAATTTCTGCCCCTTTGGGCTGTGTCTTGAGCTCTTCTTTGTGGTCCATGGAAACTGTCCTGCGAGTGGTCCAGGTGTCTTGGTGCCTTTGCCCTTTCCCAGTGCCCAGCAGATACCAGCTGTGCACATCACTGAACAGACTTGTAAGCACCCCTTTCTTCTCTCGTGTTGCTGAGGAGTTGCCTGGTTCCTCTCATGATTGCCAGCAATGCAGAAAAAACACAGAATCGTTTGAGTGAAAGAAAAAGGGAAGAGAGGAATCTAGGAATGAAAGGATTTAAGAAGCAAAATAAGATTTTATAGGATTTCGTTTTATATTTTCTCTTGGTTAGATTTGGAGAGTTCTTGCTCCCAGTAAATATGCTACTGTTAGGAAATACCACACCTGCGCTACCAGGGAATTTGCTTTGAGCTGTTGTGCAGAGTCTGTATAGAGAACATGTTCATATTCTGTAGCTCTCCTGTCTTCTTCATGTTTTGTCTCCCAGTAGCCTTGTCTGCCAAATTCTTTGTGCTCCCATTGTACCACGCAAAGGTTATTAGCCTTCCTATTGCATTTGGGCCAGCTGAGACTAATGTGAAAGTTTGATTGACATCAACTGAAGTGTGCATTAATAGTACAAGAGTTCCCTTAGTGCACAATCTCCTGGTGTTTTGCTTGTATCAATCCCATGCTGAAATCAGAGCAGTACTTGTGGCCTGCGTTTGACAGACAGTTTGTCCAGTTTAGGATCAGAACAGGACAAAGCTCTAGTGCCGCTCTCCCAGCTCTTTTGGACGGCTGTGTTTGCTCGTGCAACCCAGTTGACAAGACCCTGGGGGACTGGGAAAATGTAGATACATTGCACTTTGCCTCAGAGAAGAGGAGAACATGCGGAGTAAGCATAAAGAAACAAAAGCCATTGACATTCCTCACTGCGCCCTGAGACTTGGAGAATTTCTTTGTAAAAAAGTGGCTGGTGAATGCTAAGAAAGCTCCACTTTGTTGCCCAGATGGAGCAAAGCGCAGGTGCAGAGGTGGAAATGCAGCTGTTTAATTTAGTGGAACTTTGGACAAGGAGCAAGCCATGTCCCCTTTACTTGAGAACCTGAAGGAATGCTGCAGCTCGCAGCACGTGTGAGCCCTCCTGCAGCAGCCATCTGTTTGGTGCCCCTACAGCTACGGGGGGAGGTCGATTTGGCTTCTCTGCGGTTGAAAGCAATCAGTGATTTGGTTCAGCCCTCAATCGCTGTGCCAGTGTGGAGATTTATCACATCAGTTGAGCTGCCTGATGTTTTTACAGTTCTTGTAACAAAGCCGAGGAACTGTGTGTATCTGTGGAATCGAAGCTATGCAAAGTGCTCAAAGCAACAAGCAATGAGCATGAAAAAGGGGCTACTTGTCTTTGCAATAGCCCATGAGCCTAGTTTAAGCCAGGGAGCCTTGCTATATGTTTTAAAGCCCTGATATTGCAAGGACGTTTCTGTAGATTAGTTTGGCCCAGCGGATCAGCCACAGCAGGAGCTTATGTGTTTTGGTGCAGCAGTCCGTAAGTTTATCAGGGAAGAGCCAGGTCACCTTTTCCACTTGAGCAGCGTCATGTGTTCTTTGGTAAACTGGAATCAGAATGGTTTTGTTTTAAGACAAAAGGGAAGGAGAGAAATTGGGGACAAGTTTTTGTCATTGGTGGGTTTTTTCTCCTTTTGTTGGCAGAGGTAAGTGAGGATGTGCAGAGCGGTCTCAGCTGCTGTGCTCTTGGTGCTGGTGGTGACACCAAACCCATCCTGGGAGACCCTAATGCAGTCTCTTTGCATGAACTCTCATGTTGTACTGGGTGCCTCTGAGCTGGCCAAAGATTGGGAGAACATTTCAAGTTGAAACTTTTAGAGGCTTTTAAAGAAGATTTTCATTTCTGTGGACAGCATTGCAATTCAGCCAAATAAGTCTGTTCCTGAAAAATAATGATAATATATTAACTATAAAGTAATGCCTTTTTTGTCATGATAGCTCAGTTTCTTGCTGGAGTTACAGTTCAGGTTTTTTATTATCCCATTCTTCTAAGGATTTGGCTTTCTGCTTAGGTACCCTGGGGCATCAGCAGTGAGAGTGGTGAAGGCTGTGATGTGGCAAGGGGAGAGCTGGGGAAAGTGGAGCCAAGACCATAGTGGAAACGGGAATATAAAATACGGGAACTTCACAACTCCTTTTGGTCGCCGAGTACCGCTCTGTCATCTGAAATGTCTGTATATTCCTCAAGAGCCAAACTTCCCTGTGGAAGGATGTATTTGTGTGTCTGGGGGAGGACGTTTCTTGCTGTAACTGTTCATCTGGCAAAGGTTACTCCACTCAGCTGAGCTCGGTGTCAGAGCTGCTTTTGGTTCCTGACACGGATGTGCTCTCTGTGGGGGAGTAGGAGCAGAGGAACTCCCCAGGACCCTGCTTTACTCCTATGTGGATGGTTCTGGCCCTCCGCCATGCTAAAAAGCCTTTTTGTCATGATGAAACGGTGGAGTGAAGCTTACTGTTGCCTAAAACCCGAAATATTTGAGTAAGGACCAGGTTATAATGAACCACTTGAGACAACAGGAGGGCTTTTTCTGCTTTTAAAAGGAGTTTGTCGGAAGTGGACTTTGCGCTCACGCTAAATAAAACTTCTTTAAAGGATGTGTGAAGTTGTGCAAAACCAGCTGGTGTCCAAATGAGACCAAGAAGCAGCAAATGGCACACCATTTTGAGCCCATCCCTTTAAAAGCCATATTCCCTGAGGTCTGCTGGTATGGGAAGCTCAACCGTTACCTTTGCTGGTGCCAGGAATGAAACTTGAGCATAAGCTTTACACACTTGCATCAGATGTGCAGAACCCAGTCCTGGCAGACCCGTGAGCTTTTATATGTGACTGGAGAACAGATTGAAGCTGCTGCTAAAGCTCCTGAGTACATAAGGTCGTTACTCATCGGTCCGGTCCTCGTTATTGTGTGAGGTTTGTGCTGAGAGGGCAGAGATAAGAAAGGGCTGGAATACCCAGCTGCTGAAATCTGAGCGTGTTTGCTGGCATTGCAAGACGGGGCATCTGGTTTTAAGCATTACTCTCTTTCCTCTGTTTCCTCCCCCGGTATACTGAAATATCTTTCTGTTGTTCCCCTGCATCAGAAATCTCGGCGAACTCATTGACAGGTTTGTGGCTGACTTCAAGGCTCAAGGTCCCCCCAAGCCCAACGTGGACGAAGGAGGAGCCGTCCTGCCCAGCTGCGCCGATCTCTTTGTGTACTACAAGAAGTGCATGGTGCAGTGCTCCCAGCTCAGCACAGGCGAGCCCATGATAGCCCTGACCACCATATTCCAGAAGTACCTTCGGGAATACGCCTGGAAAATTCTGTCTGGAAACCTGCCCAAGTGAGTTGCACTTAACCCAGCTACTTGGGTAACAGATCTGTACTGTGACTTTTAGCTGCTTTAGCTCAACATTGTACCTATAATAATTTATAATGAAGGTGGTTTATTTGTGAGATGCTGAAGTGCTTACCTGTAATTCCCTCTGCTTTCTAACATTTTATGTATGTATGAATAAAATATGTAGATGTAAATCTAGTGAAAATAAAGGAAAGCATGATGGGTTTACACCAATATAGGTAACCGTACAGGCTAAAAGAGCTCCTTGAGATATTGCCAACCCTAACTACAGATAATTTTGTATGCTATCTACCATCTTCAGTTTATTTCCCTTGTAAATCTGGGAGCAGCAGAATGAATTTCTGCAACCAGTAAAATGTTTTACAGATGGAAGAGAGGGTTACATCCAGACCAGTGGAAAGATAAATTTAATGTGCATTCTCCATCAGACCTCAGTTGCATTCTTTATACATATTTTTTTTGTGTGCTCCATTTTTGCTGTCCAAGATAAAGATCACTGTCCTATTTTTTTAATGGATTTGGATTATAAAGAGTTGAGAGGTAGGGAATTTCCTGACTCTAAACTGTTCTGAGTCTTTCTTTGTTGATACACAGCTGTTAATCACCGGAAGATGGTGGAAAGAAGCCACATCTTCTATAATTTACTGTGTTGATATAATCAGTTTTTAAAACAGGTTACCAAAATTGGAAATGCGTGTTGACATCTGTTTAGTACTGAGAAGATAAATATGACAAGCTGCCTGATAGTTACTGAGGTTTTTCTGTAATCTTTAATTAGATTTTTGAGTGGCTGGCAGTGAAGGTGAAGTTAGCTGGGGAAAGCTGTGTTCCACTTGCATCCTAATCTACCACTCTGTGACTGAATGCGTTTTCCTCTGCATCAAGACTTGATAAAAAGTTCTGCTTGTCTTTCTCAAAGATACTCCTTAAGTAAAATAGCAGTTGTGGGTTTGATGTAGAATGACACTGACCTGGCATTGGACTTCGTGGTTGTAAGGGCTTTTTATGGTGTTGAAATCCAGTAGTAATTTTGCAACGTGTGTGTCTGTACACCTGAGAGCCTTACAGGTTTTGTCTTCCATTTTTCCAGGACAACGAGCAGCAGTGGTGGGCTCACCATCACCAGTTTGCTGAAAGAAAAGGAAGGCTCTGAAGTGGCCAAGTTTACTTTAGAAGAACTCTGCCTCATTTGCAGCATCCTTAGTACTGCAGAGTATTGCTTGGCCACCACACAGCAGGTGAGCTTTCCTCACAGCACCTCTGAGACCACAGCACCCCCTCTTCTGTCATGAGTGCTGTGCTGCTCCCCCTTCAGGGGTAGGCTGCTGTGGAAACTGGAGTCAGAAATACCAAAATATCTGTAGTAGTGTCTGCTCCACGTGGCATCCCATTGATTGTTGAGCTGTGCCTTATTAAATCTATATTTCAATATTTTGAGTGGAGCATCTCCTGATGAGGAGCGGCTGAGGGAGCTGGGGCTCTTTAGCTTGGTGCAGAGGAGACTGAGGGGTGCCCTCATTCATGGTTATAAATTTGTAAAGGGCGAGTGTCAGGAGGAAGGAGCCAGGCTCTGCTCAGTGGTAGCCAATGGTAGGACAAGGGGCAACGGGTGCAAGCTGGAGCATAGGAGGTTCAAGCTGAACATAAGGAAAAACTTTTTCACTGTGAGGGTGACAGAGCATGGCCCAGGCTGCCCAGAGAGGTTGTGGAGTCTCCTTCTCTGGAGACATTCAAAACCCACCTGGACATGTTCCTGTGTGACCTGGTCTGGGTGATCCTGCTCTGTCAGTGGGGTTGGACTGGATGAGCTTTTGAGGTCCCTTCCAACTCCTGATATTCTGTGATTCTGTGATTCAAAGAAAGAAAAGTATTGATTTTGCTGTTTCCACCTGAGAAAAGCCATTTGCTCCTAATCCTGCTTTGCAGCATCAGTTTGGGATTTGCTCCTTTTATGCTTGTTACACAACTTGTTTTGAATTGGGAACCAAATTTTTATTTTAAAAAAGTCTTCTCATGGTTCATGATCTCCCTTTTATAAAAACAAGAAAGAGAGTAATTCAAAATACATTTGGGGAAATCTTGTGTGAAATACTGGGGCAAGGTGCAGTGGGGAGAGAAGGTATTTATGCTGATACGCTTTGCAGCCACAGTGCTCCTTGACCGTATCAGGGCCTCTCCATCAGTAGAACTGGCAAACCTCCTCCCCCTCTGCAGTTTGGGCACAGACAGGGTGTTGGAAAACATCCTTATTAGCAGGACAGGTGCCACGGTGTTAAGCTGGTACATTAACATGTCGTGCTAGAGTTACACGTATGACTCTAGAGGTTACTTCTTTGAGGACGCAGTGCCACCGTAGGCCATCCTGGCAGATCAAGACATCTAGGGTGTCCAACAAGGAGAGATTTCCATTGTTCCGTGCCTGGGTTTTAGATATAGTCTGGGCATGGATTAGGTTTGAAGAAGCTTACTTTTCCAGGATGTAAGTTTTCAAGACTGGTCATTTCAAGTGATAAATCTGATCTTTCTGTTCCTTGTTTTGTTTCTTAACAGTTGGAAGAGAAACTCAAAGAAAAAGTGGATGCAAGTCTAGTGGAGAGAATCAACCTGACAGGAGAGATGGACACTTTCAGCATGTATGTTTAGCAGATGCATCCTCCCAGAATATATCAGACATCCTTGTTTGTCAGCCAGATGGTGCTGGAGTAGTGCGTCATAGGACCCAGCCAGCAGTAGAACCCCCCCAGATATGCAGCCAGGCTTCCCTGGTGAAGGAGTGGTCGTCCCTTGGCTAGTCCAGGAGCAGCAGTAGTACGGAATTCAGATGTAGTTGTTCCCCATCACCCTAGCCAAAGGAACAAGAACACTGGAAGGGGGAAAGAAAATAGTGAGTCTCCGTCTGAAATATCATTTGCATCTTGGCAGCTCTGTGAGGTGGCTGTTACATTTCAAGAAAGGAAGCTATTTCAGTGCATTCCTTCCTGCTTTAACTTCCCACTGTTAATCAGCAGCCTTGTCAGTATGATCAAACCCCATTTCAGATGACATAAAAGACTGATCCAATCTTATATTTGGGGATCATAATTGAGAGAAGATTATCATTCATTAAAATAACTTTTCACGTAACGATGCTAAAAATACTCCCTTCTAACATCCTCTCCTCTCCACCACTGACAAACAGATAGGATATTTTTTGAGAGAAGGAAATCGAGGCAGAGAAATAATTGTTTTGCCTCACATCAGACAAAAGAAAACCTTGGCAAAGCTGAGAAAAGAATCCCTATCACCAGCTCTCCTTCTCCCTAAAACTGAGGTTCAGCCCAGATAGCAGCAAGAGTTTTTTCAGAAGACTTCCTTCCTGTGATTCCTCCTCTCTCGCTCCAGTGGGCAGGATACCACTGAATCTCCATCCAGGTTTTTCACATGGTCTCGGGCTCCATTCCAGGCTGCAGAGACTCCCTTCCCTTTAGATAATTCTCAGACCTCCTTAAGAGTGAATCCCTGACCAAATGCTAGGGTTGCTGCATCCACTCAGTCAAAGCAAGCAACATAACCAGAGAGTAGAAATAAAATACGCCGTATGACGGGGTTTTCTTAATATGGACAAGACAAGGATGGGTTTTGTGTTTTCTCGTGATCTGTCTGACAGGAGCCAGGTACCTTGTGTCGCTGCTCGGTTTCCACGGTGGCTGCCTCACGCGGTGGTTGGTCGTAGGCAGCCAATATGATGTGTTTTGGAAATTGTTTAAATGTATAGTTTGCGTTTGCTGTTTTGGACAGCTTTAAAGTTAAACTGACAGACCTGATATATCTTGTAACAAAGGCTTTTTAATTGACTTTCAGTCTGTTCCAGTGTAGTGCTTTGTCCAGTCTTCTGTCAGTGTAAGTCATAGCTATAAACCTCTGGCGCTTACTCATTCAACATCAAACAAGTTGTTTCTTCTGGGATTTGATGTCTTGTTAGGCACGGTCATAAAGAAGGGGATAAAATGTTGCTGCTTACACACCCTGGAAAGTGTTTCTTGCTTTGCAGAAAGGAGAGTGCAGAACCACCCAAAATGTGTATAAAGTGATTAACTTGGAGGTCTTTTACCCCTGGGGTGGCTAATCATTTTGTTTAGGAAATGTGTAGAAAATAATGGGCTCTTCTTGAAGCTCAGCAGAAGGGAAATTACTGTAATGTAAATCCAGAAATCCATGATTTTCACCCCCTGGCCCTATTGATCTGTTGGGAGATTATGGGCAGTGTTCAGACACCCTTTGAAGGCCTGAAGTGCTGAGCTCACTGCAGCAGGGACTGACTGCTAGAACCAAGCTGCTCACTCACAGCCTTGGCTTCCCGACCCATCAGCTTCTGTGCATCTGTCAGGGCTTGTGTGAGGATGCATTAAGTGCTGCTGAAGCCCTGTTATGTGCTGCCTGGGGCAAAGATTTGAAGTGGCTTCCAGCAGAACCAGGATCCAAGCCCTCTTGGTGTGTCCCAGTGCTTTGCATTTGCAACACACTTCTGGCTGTGCCGTTACCCCTCTGCAGCAGGGATTTATTTGGAAGTGTAGACAAAGAGGTTTCTCTCCCTGTTAGCAGTCTCGTGGTTTTGAGGTGAGAGCCTGTACTTGGTGACCCAGTTTCGGGCAGACTCGTGACACATGGGGACTGGTGATGAAGTCGCTTTCCTTCCACTGAGAGGGTTGTGTTTCATTTTGGGGCTGAACCACAACTCTTTCCTACGAGTCACTGCCAGCAGGTGCCCTGCAGGAGTCAGCTGTGCCCAAGAGATGGTTATTTCAGTCCGGCGCCCTTGGCATCGCTTGAGCTGGTGGAATCCCCCAGGGGAGTAGATCCTGCAGTGCCCAGCAGAGGCAGCAGCAGGCACAGGCTTTTTTTATCCCAATGCAAGTTTCAGATCATGTAACTTGGAGCTAATGGTCACTCAATCTCCCATATTAATTTTTCCAGCTAATTTTGGATGAGTTTGCCTTTACAAACAAATTAATTGCTCTGAAGGAAGAGTCTTCTTGGCATCCTGTTCCAGTCTTTATGAGCTAGAGCTCTGGGAAGGGAAATAGGCAACCTCCCAACACCCAGATCCCAGCAGCAGTTAAGAGTGGGTGATACTGTGCCTCGATGAGGACACTTAGAAATATTGTAAGCAGTGAATTCCCGAACTGCACGATGAAGGCGAGGGGGAGGAAAGATGGTTTGAGAGTTGGTGGTCAGATTTCTTCTAGATCTGTGATTCCCATCTGTGCTGCCATCATGAGAGAGAGCAAAAGTGAAATCTAGTTCTTAGGTATAAAACCGAGTTTGTAAACAGGCATCTGTGGCAGGTTTGAAGTTTACACTGTTTTTAAAAGCTACACTTTCCGTAGTGAAACACAGTCACTTGTTACTCCTAGCAGAAGTTGTCTGTAACGCGAGTGCTGGGTTACGTGCCCGCAAGGGTGGTCCGAGTTCCTGCAGACAGCGTTTCCCCACTGTTGTTTTAGGATCAATTGCAGCTTTATGCACATTGTAATATGGTGGCATCAAATATGTCTCTGAGCAATATCATGCTGTTTAAAAAGAAAAAAAAAAAAAGGAGGGAAATGTGTTTGACTAATGTGTCCTTCAGTCTGGTGTATGTCTGAGAAACTCAAACAATGGATGGCGGCAGTCCTAGACGTAGTGTAAATAAGACATCTGCCTTGATCTTCTCAAGTGGGAAACATATTCAGAACTCAGACAGATGTACTTTTTAAAATCCTCTTTGCAAGTTTCTGCGAGCAGTAGAATATTGACTGCGAATAAGTGGAGAGATGATGAAACGTTAGCTTTATGCAGACTGGATTAAATTTGAAGCCGAATCCCAGTCTGGGCTCAGTACTCGAGGGTTTCTCCTCTTCCCAAAGTGCAGGCGGGGGGGCTACCCCATCTGACACCTTTGATCTCCAGCTCCTTCCGTGTGTCAGCACAGAGAAAGGTCACCCATAAAAACGTCCTCTCTACACTAAAGCGCATTGTGTAGCTCCCTAATGGACGCCGTGCAGGACTTCCCAGCTTCTTTTCAGTACGAGTTCCAGCCATGTGTGTTCACAGCACAACGCCACTGTCAGCGAGGAGATGATTTTCCTCCTTTCACAGTCAAATACGCCAGTTCTGGCACTGTGTTGCTGAGTACTATTCTAAAACTCGAGCTTGATTTTCTGTTTCTCCTTTGCAGTGTGATCTCCAACAGCATACAGCTGCTAGTACAGGACCTGGATGCAGCCTGTGACCCTGCCCTGACTGCTATGAGCAAGGTAGGGGCTGGGCTTGCTTAGGGAAGAGGTAACGTTAAGATCCAGCTGGAATTCTTGTTTGCTTTGATTGCTTGATTTCACTATTGACAGACCCTTTTATGCTGCCCTGAGACTTAGCCATATATTGATTTCTTTTTGCTTCTTAGAGCAGCCATTGCTGTAGTTACAAATATATCCTTCACTCCAAAACCTCCTATCGTTCACATTAGAGCTTCCATTCTTTTGCAGCATATTAAATAAAATACTTTTTGCAAGTATCTGAGGCTTTCTCTTTCCACTCCTAATGCCAGTGAGAGGCTCTAAAATCAGGAAAACTTTTGTTAGAGTGCAATTTCAAATGCACCTTTTCGATTGCTCTTCTTTTTGTGTTCTTTGACAAGGAGTTTTACTCGCCTGCTTGTTTGTGGCTGTTAAATGGGAGTATTAGAAGGGTAATATGGAATTGAGGTTGAGCCCTATTCTGTGATCCTCTCAGGGACATATGGAGCCATTCCTGGAGAGGCCCATGTGATTGGTGCTTAAGGATTTTGTTGCAGTTACACTGCTGGCTTTTATACGTTTGAAATGCAGAGCCGTGTTTCCTTGCCAAAGTATTGTGAAAACCCAGACTGCTTTAGACGGAGGTGAAGACAACAAAAGTGGATTGAACTATTTTTTTTTTTTAATTAGAAATATTAAACATAGAGCCCCATTTTTGTAGGATCAACACGCTGTCTCGCTGCCATGAATTTTAATAGCTTTCTGCTTTCTGATGTATTCCAGCTGTAACTAGCCCTGCCACCCCCAGCTAATATTTGAAGTGGAATGCAGCTGGTAATAGAGCTTGTCCATGTTCCAAACATAAAGAGGATTTTTTTTGCCCAATAAAATAACGCCGTTAGGAAGGGCTTGGCACTTCAGGTGCTGTGTGTGTGCCATGGCAGCTCCTTAGATCTGCTGAACCTACGTAGCGTAGTAGTATTTGAATCACTTGGCTCCGACTGTTTATACCCAAGTAAACCACAACCTTGAGAAAGCAGCAGCTGGTAGGCCATTTATTTTTGTCTTTGGAACACTGGTAAAATGCAGCACATGTGATGGGACTGATGATATATAAACAAGTGTTACAAAACTAGCTAAATAAATACTTGTCACTTGTGCACACATTCCCCTATTTGCATCAGACAGAGTTGCTTTTCTGTGATTTTTTACTAGACATGGGTTCGGTGCAAGAAATTTTTTCCCTTAATCCTCCTCCTCTCTTTCCTTCAGGGCTGGGTTATTCTGACAGTTGAACAATAAATGCATGTAATTAAACGCAGTTAGTATTTGAAATTATAAAATGTCAGTCTGTATTAGTGGAGTAAAGACTGTGCAGCTGATCCATTCCAATTTTCCTGTACTAGGAAGGCATGGCTGTCCCGAGACCCCTGCTCTGTTAAAGCTCCTCTGTTGTTTAACTTCTTTTCAATTACTTCACTTTGGTGTCCCAGTCCTTTGTTGGAGTCTGGCTTTTTTTTTTCCCCTTTGCAAAAATGTTCGGTAACTATAGAGGTAAATTAAGAAATACTTAAACCTCTAAATCCACTTTGGCTGCAGGCCGCTTTGAGAGATTTAACATTGAAAATGACATAGTGAATATTGCTTTCAGCTGGGAACGGTGCTCAGTTTCCCTGATTATTTACCTTGTGTGTTCTGGAAGAAATGGTAAATGAGGAGAAGGCCCCATATTACAGCATTTGTAGGTGATAATCTTGACTCCAACTCTGCAGCAGGTGTAGCATGATTAAACACGGCTGTAGGATGGGGAGCTGGTGGAGTGGGAGAGGAATTTGCCCTAAACCCCTGTAGTTGTACTCTGGATAACAAAGTACTGTGACTGCGTTGTACTGATCTGTAGCAGGCGCTTGAATTGCCTGGTGTGCTTTATTTTTAATTGTTGGGATGAGGAAACTCCTAATCTGCATGGGATATTTTTGCTCTAGTTAAGTTTATGGGTTGCATTAGATAAGGTCTGATTTACTTGCTGAATTAAGCGTTGATTTATATGTAAAACTGTGCTTATAAGTGAGGCTGGGGGACATTTTAGTGACTCATGTTGATCACTTGCTGTCGTTTTATATTTTGCTAAAACCCTTTGGCACAGCTGCAGTTTCCTACTTCCTTACAGCTGAGTGGACAACAGCAAGCGCTTCAACACAGAGCACCAGTGATCTTTCCAATACGTACAAGGAAAGCCCCAAGAGCGGAGCAATCAGAGCTGCCAGCTGCTAATTAAAAGTCAGCATGGGTGTGTTTTAGCCATCACAGGAAGTGCAGCACGCAACCGTGCAACCCAGAACTCGTGTCAGAAAACAGGGAGGTGCTTTCAAAGGCAGCAATACCTGCGACCCCCACTGCCTGCCCTTTCCCTCCCACCTCTTCCTGTGGGAGCAGCACAAGGTCAAGGGAGAAGGTGCCATCCCAGTGGTTACAGATGTGGTACTGGTAAGCCGGCAGTGGGATGCTATTGAGCATGGGGAAGCTTGGAAAGCGATTCATCCCCATTAAATCACAAAATAACCCCTTTTGCTGGAGCTCCAGGTCAGTGCTGGACACGGAGGAGGGACCTGGAGGTTCCTGGTTTGGTCCTGCCACCCTTCTCCTGGCTTTCTGGGGACGTGTGGGGATGTGAGGACTCACAACCAGACAGACCCAGGAGCACCCTTGAGCCTCTGTGCCCAGAGGGTAATGCACCTCTTGTTATCTCCCAAACCACCCCAGTTTTGCTCAGGGTTTCTCTCTTCTCCTCTCCTTTTTAAGAAAGCCCCTTAAAATCTTGAGGGTTCTGTGGTTTTGTTGCAGTAACCATCTCTGAAGGTAGCACCAGGTCTTCAAACCCGGGTCCGGCCCTTGCAGGTGCCTGTGTTGCCCCAGGTCCTTGCAGGGTACAGGTGCCTTTCGGCTGCTGCCGGGACACCCCACACGCTGGACTGCTCCCTTTGGTCCTGTTCTTTGGGCTCATTCGCAGCTTGTGTATGTAAAGTGTGTGGATATCCCAAGAAAAACATAGGACAAGGGAAAAAGAGGAATAAATTTAAAATGACAGGAACAAAGCTTACCAGAAGAGTTGGGCTCATATTTCTTTTGATGACTTTTCAGTGTGTGTACTATGTCTCTCACGGCAGCTACTGGGGTTTTTTTTCGGGTGAAACACACCCACACACACACACAAAGGGCTATTTTTACTGTTCATGCTTTAAAGGTTTGGTTGTAAAGTATTGCTTTTGGAATGAAGAGCAACAAAATGAAAAAGCTACTGTTTTACTGTTGTTGCAATAACTCAACTCAGCACTCCCTGCCCACTTTCTGGCCGTTCCCACTATGTGGGGATGGTTGTTCCTTGAGGATTGTTGTCTGTCGAGAAGGGCCAGCACTGGGAATGTGCAAGTCCGACAGGGAGACAGGCACAGAGTATTTCCTTCGGATGTGACAAACACCATAAGGAACAGAAAAGCAGTTGTCTCTTGAACAGTGCTCCAAACGAAAGTAAAATGGTATGAAAACCAGTAGAGCAGGTGATGAGAGAGACATCCCTGAGAGCTACCAGGGGTTGCGAGATGAGCAGGCTGGGGCTTTGGTTGGTTGGTTTAAATAAGGAAAGCTTTGTTAGGACATGTGGACTCTCTCAGACACTGTGGTTTTGCAAAGAATTTGGCTCCTCTTGCCCTTTAAGCCACTTGGGCTGTGTGTTTGGATGGAATTGAACTGGCTGGGTTGCAGTGGACAAAGTAGCCATAATTAAATTTAAACCAAGAAAAAACCCCCACTTTACATGAAATACAGAACTTGAGAAAGCAAGTTTGAGGACAAACCGCCTCCTCAAAAGAAAAAACTCATCTGTATGTACCCGGTTTCCTATCCTGATTTTATATCCATTTTCCTCCTGTTTAACCTCCAGCATGAGGAACAGCATCTCCAAGCAGTTGGAGCACGTTGCAGGGTGCGTAGTCTCTGAACGGTAGCAGAGCTGAGAACACTTTTCTGGATGCTCCTGTTCCTCAGTGAGGCTTTTGTATACACGGGTGCTTGGCCAGGCCTTACTCAATTACCTCTATTTTTATTTTTTTCACATGACTTATACTGTATATTCCCTGTGTGCTGCAAATAAAGCTTAGAGAAAGTCAAGGAGTCACACATCTGGCTCACAGGGGCTTTTCTGTTGCATTTCTGCTGATGGTAAATTAAAACAAAATGGGAGATTGAGTAACTTATCTTGTTTTCTATATTTTTACGCGTGTTTGGGATGAGCTGAAGTTGGCATCCCAGCCTGTATACCGCAAGTGTTCTCAGTGTGAGCTACACTGGTGTGGAGTGCTTTGGACTTTAAGACTGTTTCTACCTCTTCCATCTATCTGTCATCAGTCTCACCAGTATTAAAGTCTTGGCTGCCATACAGGAATCCAGACTTTGCAAGCTTGCAGATATTTTCTCAAATGCCTGTAATCAGGATTTATATGGGCACTTCATCCCAGCAAACTGGAAACTGTTAAATATTAAGGCAGCCTGGCGTGCTCCAAAAGCCTGTTCAATCCTAGTGGTCCCTGTTTGTGTAGGTTACTGGTCACAATCTCTCTGCTCTGGTGCAAAAAAGGGCCATTCTGGGTTTTCTTTGTATCTTGTTGTGGAAGGGGTTTGCTCATTTAGTGACAAAGAACATGACCTTGGTGGTGAATTGCAGAGGCAGTCTCTTGATGACTCCTTAGAGATCTTTTGGCAGGAAGTTTGCACAGGTTTCCTTACCTATTGCTAGAATCTTAATGAATTAAACAGTCTTTTTGGTTGTTTTTTTTTTTCCCCTTTGTGCAGATGCAGTGGCAGAACGTGGAGCACGTTGGTGACCAGAGTCCTTATGTCACCTCGGTGATTCTCCACATTAAGCAGAACGTCCCCATCATCCGTGACAACCTGGCCTCCACGAGAAAGTATTTCACCCAGTTCTGTATAAAATTTGCCAAGTAAGTTACCAGTGTGGCACAGGGCTTTTTGGGGTCTGTGTTTTTTGCTGGTCTGTACCTGGTGGCTGTTTGCCTTCAGTGTGCAGCCTCAGCGACACTTGGTGTCCGAGTGAAGACCCTCTCTAACCAGGGAGAGCACGGAGAGAGGTGGGGTAGGGCAGCAAACACCAGCAGCTGCTCCAAGGTTAAAAGATACTTGAATTTCTTGCCTT